TATATTCCTCGGCTAGTCGAATAATTTTTTCACCACCGTTTAATCGTTTTAAGATTGTCAAACGATCGTCAATGCTGAGTTGTGTATTTTTAATATTCTAAAATAAATATGACAACTTTAAGTAATTATTTGTATATAATTATTAATCATATTATTATAATATAAATTATACATATAATAATTTACATTAATTATAAAATGTATATCTCTTTGGATGTCATTGTAGATAATAACGTTCGTAAAATCTTTTACTTTTCGTCAAACGAAAATATATCATGCATTTTATTTTCCCTTGAGATTTAAAAATATGTGTTGCACAAGCTTATAGAATATGTTAATGTATCTGCTATCTAATAAGGTTATGCACGTATCTGCTGATGTTTATTGGAATTCTGCGCAAGCACCATTACTAGTAGAAGTAAGGATAAAGAAGAAAGTTATTTTTACAGAGGTCGGCCGATCCTGACAAATTACTTTTATGGAGATTCGACTGTATAATTAGTGCAGTGTTGTTGTATATATTAGATATCAAAATTGGCACAAACTTATAATAATCAATAATTATGACTCAATAATTATAATTATATTTTATATATTCTAGTATTTATATATTATATTCTAAATCTTGTGCTTTTGATATCTAATATATAGATACAAGTGCAATAATTATATTGAATTATCAATAATTATTACTTGAGTAGTTGAAATAGGAAGATTTTGAATGGTTACATATGCTTAGATTTTATTTTCTAAAAATTAAAATTTAAAAATTCTATCACTTGGTTTTATTTAAAAAAAAAGTCTAATATTTTACATAACTTGGCGCCAGTTATTGATATCAAATCTTTCATACAAATGATATACATATAATTTAATTAAATTATATATATGTGAATTGAATACATATGAATTGAGTAAAGTAATGCAATTTTATGATATTATAGACTTCGATTGAAATACAAAGATGAATTAGGCTTGAGTATCACACATTATTTGCATGTCAGTAAGATGATATAATTTTGTTTTAATGTTACATTTGGATTAAAATAGAAAAATTCTTGTATGCAAAGATCTTACAAGTTCTATTTTTTTTAAATAAAAGATATTTCCAGTTAGATTTTATTTTTTAATTTGGTACAACAGTTCTTTCTTCAAGCGTGCCCTTATACTTTTTTAATTTTTTTAAAAAGATAATTTTGTTGTGATATCATGCATTTTGTTAAGCATTTCTTTGTGTTTGATTTAATATATATAATTAATAACAATTTTTTGTAAAAATAATATTTAAATATCTTTAGCATCTTTAGGCCATTGCTTTTTTGCATCATTAATTTCAATCCAAGTGCTAGATGTTCCTTCTCTACACATGTAAATCTTATAATAATTTTTTTCAATATAAGTTCCATGATGAAAAATATTATTTATAACTTTATGCTTGTTATGCTTGTTTAGCTATTAGTATTTTAGTTGTTGATATAGCAAAATTTGTGTGGTATTTTAACTAATTTATCATTCTGTAAAGAAAGTGATTGTTACGTCCGAGGTTCGAGAGGAGAAATAATATTTTTTGGTCAGGAGGAGGAACTCGGGTGGACGCACGGAACTGTCTTTGCTCTCCCGGTCGTGGGGTCGATTCGCGAGTCGAACGCGCCTAAGAGCACACAGGGAATGAGTCAACGTTGGTGACGCTATAACCCCTTACCTGCATTAGCGCGGTCGATAGTCCGTTTTAAGTCAGAGAACTGAATTTCTTTAACCAGGGATGAACCTCGTGCGATCTTCAAGAAGTCGTGAATGATTCGGGGTCAAGATTTTTCTTTAAATAAATAAATAGAAATGCAATTTAGGTTAACTACGATTTAATAATAAAAAATAATAATAATAAAAAAAGGGAATACAACATCTCTACGCTCGTATGAAGTAGCACAAATGTTAGAGTGTACATTTGAATATGGAAAATTATTGTTTACAAAACTTTCATACACAAAACTTTATCTAATTGAAAATTCGCTCTCTATATTTGAATATGGAAAATTATTGTTTAAAAAACTTTCATACACAAAACTTTATATAATTGAAAATCCGATCTCTAAATTCCCAATTGCTCTAATTGGGGCAAAAAGTTGGTTATTGCGAGCATGTTGACGGGATCGGGTTGAAGGTGTGGGGGAGGATTAGGGCGAGCGCTGCGGAAAGCTTTCACAGGGACGAGATAGGGAAGAGGATCACGGGAAATGTACATCGAGATAGTATCGTGAAGTAAAAGGTTCTCGATGATGAGCGGGAGCGGGATGAGTGGGAGAGCGAAGAAATTGGCGGACGAGATGATAGAACTTCTCCACGTCGAAATTCTCTGGAATGCATTGATATTCGAATTCAACCGCGGAGCGGAGGGCGTATTCTTGCAAAAAGATGTTAGCGAGTATCGGTTCTATCTCGATTAACCGCTCCGTAAGTTTCTCGGCATGTTCGGTTTCGCGACGAATCCGTTTATTTTGCTTCTCCCGACGGTGTCGCAATGCCCGCTTCGTTTATTTGTTCGGGATGACTTTCGTTTGGTTCACTATGTAAATATAAGAGTTAGGTGAGAGAGAGTGAGTGAGTTGAGAGAAGTAAAAGAATTGAAGAATCGTGGTAGGGCAGCTTCACCGAGTCAATCGGCGGGTTGCCAATTTGGAATATTGAAGTGATTTAAGGAAACAATTAAATCAAAATCGCAAACCAAACAGCCAGTCAACCGCGGGAAAGAATGATAAAGATGGACTTACTTTTGCTGTGGCGGGGCACAGGTGATGGACGAGAGCTATAGTGCCTAGGCTGGATCGTAAATCACACACAATTGAAGTTCGCGCACAGATTCTAACTGGAAATTTTTCGGTAACAGCTTCGAATGGTCCTCCAAAGGTATGGAGCGACTGTTCGACCGCGATTTACCATTCCATCTCCGAATACCTTGCGAGAACGTATCGAAGAGCACCTCGATACAGTCACTCGATATATTTGTCAGGGCGCTCCCTGACGACCGACAAAACATCGGGATATACCCCGATAGCGTCGAGCACTCTCGACAACTCTGAGTACCAGGGTACTCCCTCGTCCCTGGTCTCGCGTCACCCCCTCCAATTAAATCAACAGGTTAATAGGCGAATCGGGTGTTCCCGATCCCACCGTCAGAGTGACGACACCCCGGAGACAATCTTCTTGTCAGAAACACCTATTCGCGAAAAACAGCCGCGGAATTTACCACGCGCACACCGCGTGATCCGAAGCCCAGTTGATTACACTGGCGACCGCACCGCCCCGCGTTACGCAACACGCGCGCCCCGCGCTATACACCGCGACCGTAAAAGATAGCTAATCTCGCAAGATAGTTGACTCAATCATTATACATATTCATTATAATCATTGTCGCACTCCATCGCGGACATCAATAAAAGAATTATTGTTACTTCAACCTCTGTCGCTCTCACTTTTTCACCTGGCTGTCCGACTAAGAAATTATCCGTACGCGGAAGTGAGACCGTTTTAATTTTAATACAAATTTAACCATATATGATAAAATTATTTTCCGATTTATCATTTTTGAGAAGTAATTATAACGTCTATAACAGTCATAAAGATACACTATAGTGTTTCGATTGTCATACATGACTTGATATTCGAGACACTAGTGTCTCCTAAAGTTAAATTATAGAAATATATGGACCATGGTCGGCTCGTTCTTTAGATTTATCTCTGATGTGATTCTTTGTAGAGATATCTGCAATCTCTTGCATATCAAATATGATTAAAAATCTTCGAGAGTAAAGGATAATTAAAGATTATGTAACTTTAAATATCCAAATATAATAACTGTTATGCATAATATTATAATTTATTAAAAAGAGTAAAATTTTGTGTTGCAGAAAGGAACAGCAATTTAAACATTCACTTATATAAGTTACAATTTTTTTATTTACGAACATTTATAATGGATATTATGTGTTTACAATGTCATAAAATAGTTCCTAAATAATTTTTTAATATTAATAAGTATCATTCAAATTAATAAAACATCAATAAAAGTAATATTCCAGATGGTACGTTAAATTCATCTTAAAAATCCCTATAATAGTGTGAAAAGAAATTTGTAATGATACTATTTAAAATATTCGAAATGAATTTGATATTTTATAAAAAAGATTTCATTTTTTAATTTTTTTATTGTAGCTTGAAACAGATAAATGAAACAGATAAATATTCATCTTTCTTTTTTAAACTGTTGGAATAATTCAAAAACTGCAGACTATTATGCTGAATACGTTAAAGAAATGTATATAATATATATTATATACATTTACCCTTGGATATGTCCCTCCCTTCTTATTCGGGGGCTCGAGCCATGCTTGATGCAATTTCTCCTGTCGTGCTCCAGGAGAATTATTTGTATATTTGCCAATGGCGTTGGAGGGTGTCGCCGCTGCAGTCCGACCTGCATCCATCGAGAGAATAGGACCATCATCTCTCTGGAGTGGACTAGTTGGGTATTCCCAAATAAGAAGGGAGGGTGTGCGTCACGGCGGGACCCGACCACGAACCAGTCGTGAAAACTCGTAATTATTTTGCGAAAAAATACCACCTCAGCCAGGAATCGAACCTGGATCTCCTGCTTATCGGATAGGCATCTTATCCTTTCGACTACCGAGGCATGTGATGATATTTATCGCAAATAACGTGTTTAGAATAACACGTCAACAATACAATGATACATATGAATATACATATATTACAATATATATATACATGTATTCTTTCGAATCCCCACGACTGGTACTCCAGAGAGATGATGATCCTATTCTCTCGATGGATGCAGGTCGGATTGCAGCGGCGACACCCTCCAACGCTATTGGCAAATATACAAATAATCCTCCTGGAGCACGATAGGAGAGATTGCATCAAGCATGGCTCGAGCCCCCGAACATACATATATGCATATTATTGAGAATATAAAATTGTTACAGGTGGGTGAATTGGCTTTTCACAATTCTACGCAGCTTCAATCGATAGATCTATCCGGGAATGTCCTCGAGACACTAAACGAACGTACAATGGACGGTTTACTTCGTTTAGAATTTTTAGATTTACACAATAATCGACTTGTTTCACTGCCCGAAACTCTTTTCGACTCATCAAGAGTTCATGCCATAGAAAAAATCGATTTGTCCAATAATCATTTCAACGAAATACCAAACCTTACGTTACAACGACAATCAGCATCGTTATTCAGTCTAAAATTAGCTCGCAATCGAATAGTAGAAGTGTTTGCACAAGATATTATTAACAATGTGAAGGAGCTCGATCTTTCCGAAAATCCTCTAAGTGAAAATGCAATTCGCGGCATTCTGGGTGAAGCAAAAATTCTACGATCACTTAACCTTGCGAATACGAATATTAAAATTATTCCCAGGTTAGAAATGCCTTTCCTTAAACATTTGAATCTCTCAGGGAATGCAATTGCAGATATTAAACCTATCATATTGGAACGTACTACAATGTTAGAAAGCTTCGATGTCTCAAGAAATCATTTGACAGCACTTACAAATCTTGTCAGTACTTTCAAAAATCTACCGGTTCTTCTAAGCCTAGACATTTCGAATAACGAAATAAAGAATATTAACGAAAGCAATTTTGATGGATTAGCAACACTACACTCTTTAAAAATGGAAAATTTGCTAAATTGTACTAGAATTGAAAGAAATGCATTTAGAGCATTGACGAAATTACGATATTTGTATGCTTATAATTATCCCAAGTTGGGTTATTTTGACGTGCAAGGTATTTTGAAAGATATGATAAATTTAGAAATATTGGATATTGAAATCAAAGACGCATCGATCAGCAATGAGCAGTTATCAGTGCGTATTCATCCTTACCTACGAGAGTTAACATTACGAGGAGAAAGATTGCGTAATATTCTTTCAAGTTCACTAGTCGGTATACGTGGACCACAATTATTCCTGAATTTAAAGGATACTTCCATAGATTCCATACCAACAGCCCTCTTTTTTCCGGTGCCACGTTCCACTAAGGTTGAGCTGAATGTTTCTGGCAGCAAATTTACTAATCTATCACTTCAGTTATTAACTGCTTTGGATGAACGTGGAGGCTCAATAACAATTAGTGGATTGGATAAAAATCCGATCAATTGCAGTTGCGAAGCAAAACATCTCTGGAAATGGCTCAAAATGTGGGGTACTAAAGCGCCCACTGTCACCTGTGCCAGTCCCAACCACTTGGTGGGTATACTGCTAATCAATATTACAGAGGAATATTTCTTGTGCGATCACACTACACCGACAAAGTCGCAAACCACAGAAACTATAATGTTGACGAAATCAACAATTCAGGAACCAGAAATAATCTGGACTATCGCACCAACAACGCAAAACAATCAAAATGAACATAATAATGATCATACAGGTAAGTCGTATTATTAGTGTCATATTATTGGTGTAAATGCAGGATCATAAACTCTCATTACTAAAGTAAATAAAATGTTATTATTCTTTAACAATTGCAATCATGGATTAAAGTTTAATTTTAAAGTTAGCTCAATTTTAATCGATTGAATTTTTTACAAGTTGCTTTCTTTAATAAACAC